CGGACGCGCGTTGTGTGTTTACGAGCTGTCTCGCGTAAAAATGTAACCACGAGCGAGAGAGAGAGAGAATTCACTAGAATTCACGCTGCTCGAATTGGGATTTTCGTCTCGTCGCCAATTTTTACACCTTTTGTACGTATCTCGTAATAACATTGTTTATCCTCCATAACATTGTATATTTTGCTATCAAATATCCATGTGACTACACGGAAAAGAAGAATTAGCTCCTACAAGTAAAAATTAGCTGTCCATATAATATAACTGAAATTTAATTAATTCAGCTGATTCTTTCGTCTCTATAGCTAATTTTTAGCTCCTACAGCTAAAAACTAACAGCTAAGATCTGGTAACTAAATCTCAGTCGTGTTATATGGACAGCTAATTTCTCTTTTCCGTGTATAACTTTCCAATCTGATTTGCATATCTAAATGTATTTATTATTGCGTATGTAAACTATGTGTATCATTGTTTGACTTTCAGAAGGTAAAATTATCACCAAACAATTATTTACTTCTGTTTTTCATGGTAGAACTATAATAACATCTTTGTATATTGAAATACGTGTAACTATTAGTTGCATATGTTAATTTGCATCTCACGATTAATGCTTTGCCATTTCCCCGTCATGCCATTTATTTCAGAAACAAAAGAAAATTGAGTTGTAGAGGATGATTAAATGACAAAGACAATACGTAGTTATATGCTTCCGATAACTGCACACGAAATGAGCGCTTATTATAAGCTGTATCATTTATTCATAAAACATGCGGAAGATTTACGACGAGATATTATTGAAAATAATATGAACATACCTGTGTATACTCATTGCATAGTTGTCAGATCAGTAGGTGGCTGTAACGATTCAGTCAGCAAGAACCACGACATTGACAGCCGCAGGAATCACGACGGCGAAGACAGTTTTTCCCAATGGATCGAAACCTGTAAACTGAGCGCTACGCAATAAGATGCTTTCGATTCGACGTCGCGAATAATACTACTATGTAAACATCGCCGTGCTTGCCGGGTGTTGCGCGAAACAATAGTGTTTACATACAAGTATGTCTTTCCGACCGAAACAGTATTCTAAACTTTTCACGTAGTACTTAGAAAAGAACACAGTATCGACCGACCGATTCGAAATTTTCATTAAAACTAAATTTTGTTGGGCAACAAGTGCTAGTGTACAATCTCCTTATTGCTCCCGTGAAGGAATGCTCAAATTCACTAACGACTGAAACTAAAGCTTTAAATGGAATTTAGGGGCGATATTAATATCTCGACAATTATTTATTTATGTTATGAGAAACTATTTTCAAAAACGTCTCATTGTTCGATTAACACTAACTAAAAGTGGTCATTTCTGACCATTTTTACTTTTTAGATTATTATTTTATTTCTTGTATGTAAAAGATAGGATTCTGAAATTTTACACAAGAAACAGATGGTATTAATCTAAAAAGTAGAAACGATCGGAAATGACTACTCGGTACTTCTAGTGTTAAGCAATAGTGGAATATTATCATAAATAACAATATGATTTTACCAGTAGTTGTCGCTGCAAAATTCGTAGAGGAAGTTACGAGAAAGACGAAGCAGACGACGCTGCATATCGTGAATTTCATATTTCGCAGTAAGTTTCTTCCTGAAATTCGAGATCACGAACATTAACGTCGTGTAAATTGGAGCGCTCTCATATTACCATTACATAACAGCAAGTTCCGATGTATAATTTGCCCCCTCCCCTCTCCCGTCTCGATCGAATTTTCTTACAGTCGAAACCGAGGCTTTTTGAATTATGTATTGAGATATTTTTACATTGAAACAAGAAAATACTACTCAAGTAAATATTTGTTAAGGAATATTGGAGTAATTATTTTATTTGGCTCAAGTACGAGGGCGGTCCGATAAGTACTTAGCCTACAAAAGAAAAATTTTGGAAAAGTGGCGATTTATTTCTCAACATAGTCTCCTTTTAGCTCGATACACTTGACCCAGCGATGCTCCAACTTCTTTAACCCATCTGAAAAATACGTTTTCTTGAAGTCTGCAAAGTAGGCCTCAGTGGCGGCGATGACCTCCTCATTCGACTCAAATTTCTGCCCGGCGAGTGACTTTTTCAAGTTTGGAAACAAAAAAAGTCGCACGGGGCCAAATCTGGAGAATACGGTGGATGGGGCAGCAGTTCGTAGTCCAATTCGACCAATTTGGCCGAATGAGGAGGTCATCGCCGTCACGGAGGCCTACTTTGCAGACTTCGAGAAAACGTATTTTTCAGATGGGTTAAAGAAGTTGGAGCATCGCTGGGTCAAGTGTATCGACCTAAAAGAAGACTATGTTGAGAAATAAATCGCCACTTTTCCAAAATTTTCGTTTTTCTTTTGTAGGCTAAGTACTTATCGGACTGTCCTCGTATATATAATATTACTTGAATATAGCACGCTGAAAAGAAAAAGTGTTACATTCAAGTAATATTTACTTCATCTAAGTAAAATAATTATCCCACCACTTCTTCGTAAATATTTACTTGAAAGGAGTACTTTTTTGTTTCAGTGTATAACCATTTACTTGTGCCGGATCACAAGTAAACGCAGTTATTGAATTTTGTATCTTTCGATCGAACGGAATATCATGAATAACGCAAACGTACTTGCTGCCGTCGCTGCCGCACCCATCGCGAGCGTTACGCGAAGGATCAACATGGACGTACACCGTGCAACCTCACACCCCGCGACCGGTCTTCCTGCAATCCGAGATCGCGATTATCTCCTGTACTCCAGCGCACCCGCATCAGCGATGCGCTACGCGCGAACTTTCCACGGTTGAACGAGCCCACCGGTTAATGTAACCCGTTAATCCTGCGGAAAAATGAGGAGCGATGCGCGGTCGACCCGGCCGATGCTGATTTTCCGTTTGAAAGAGAGTAACTCAAGCAGCTAAGTTCAGGGCATGTGCATCATTAGGCTTGTTCGTTTTAGCCCAACTATATTGCACTTTTTGCACTTAGAGTGAAAGAAGTATACAACTTAACGGTTAAAACAAAGGAAAAAAGTTCCGATACAATATTAGTTCAGTTAAAACGAATAGACCTATATTTCGTTCTCGGTATATAGTCGTATCCTTCGTCATCGAATCCGTACAATAGAATCAGACAGGCGGTGAGAGATACGTTACACACGATGCGATATCGCAATGCATCATAGTCGTTACGTGCGAATATCAACGCGCCCACACGCGACGTTACGTGACCCGAGAATCTTTTAGGTAGTACGGAGTCGACAGAGCACAAGGTACCGACAGTAAACTTATTGGAATCAGTGAGTGAGAAGGTAACCAAGCGAAAGGTTGCCACCAATTCGAAGTGAACTAATTGGAGCAGTCAACTTTGCATTGTTACGTTACCAACCTCGATTGCTATCAATTTTTCTAGTTACCCAAAAACCCAAAATGGAAATCTCATGGGCGACTCGCGAGATACGGGAGCATTTATTTAATCAAGTATTTATTTACTTATTTATTTATTTATTTATTATTTATTTATTTATTTATTATTTATTTGTTTATTTATTTATTAATATCTTTATTGAGTACACAAAGAAAAATATTTCTTTGAATTCAATAAAATTTCTTTAATTTAAACAAATTTGTCTTTTTGAACGGAACGAATAAACGAATGTTTGATTCAACGAACAGGATTATTTGTTTTTTCAAACAATAAATATATTTAATATACGTAAAATAATATAATAACGAGAAATATTTTTTTATATTTGCATCCAAACATTACAATGACTGTCGCAAGCAATAAATTATTTGAAAAAAATAGCACTATTTTAGAAAAATATTAAAGAACCTTTTTTGTATGTGATTTGGTGGATCAATATTTAATATATAATGAAAAAATTTTTATTATTGAAAACCAAATATTATATTTTCCTCGAATAATGATTTTTTTTTTCTATCAAACAACATGGTTACTATAATGAAACAACAATTTTATTCAAATAAAATTATAATTAATATTCAATTATTTATATTAATATAAATATAACCCAATTTAATTATATATAAACCCAAGCTAAACAAATAAGTGTACTAAATTCAAAGAAACTTTTTTTCTTCGCGTGTGTGTGTATATGTGTGTTGTGTGTGTGGTATGGTATAGCATTATATAATTACATTAAAGCGATAGCTAATCGTTGATGTTAGGCCTAACTGAAGATAGCATAAATAGAACAAAATTGAATAGGATATACAAATAAAATAAAACAATATAAAAAGGTACAGTATAAATAGGTACAGTAATATGCGAGTGTTATAAATCCAGACAGTATAAAACCTAAAACCGGGACACAAGACGTTTTTAATCCTTTGCGCTCAAGGCCTTTTTCGCTCGAGCGAACCAGCAACTCGAGAGGAGTTAGCTGCTCCCGCTTATTTCATGAGTTTTTTACAATTAACAATTGAAATGATAAGACATCTCTGTAGCCATTACCTCATAAGATTACACACAAAGGGTTAGGAGTAGACTCGTGAAGCGATATTCGTTAGGTCAAATCTAAATAAACACCGTTATCGCTCGATTTGCCGCCTCGATCCGAGTGGTGCTTGAGAGGCACCGCACGAGTTGTCGCATCATATCCAGTGGTGCCTGAGAGGCACCTCTCGAGCGCAAAGAGTTAAAACGTCTTAGTCTTATAGACGTCTTACTTAAAGACGATTTTAAGACGTCTTCAAGACATCTTAACGCCGTCTTATGTTCCGGCTTTTAAATTTTGTGCTGTCTAGGAAGTCTCATCATATATATTTTNACTTTTTTTCGTGTAAACGCACGCATAATTATGTCAGGATGGTCGTAAAAGACACGGAGAAGAGAAATAATAGATAATATCAAAAGGGAGAGAATAGAGGCAGATTGGCGCTTGGCGGTCGTGCGAGAACGTGTTTTATCGACGGAGCTTCCGCCGACGGCGCTCGACGTTATTCCGGTGGGTACGTAGAATCTCTGCAGGCCGCGGCAACGGCCGGTCGAATCGCCGTGACGTCGTGGAGGTGCCCGTGCTACGTTCTGCGCGTCGACACACGTTGTGTGCATCCTGAATATTCTGTGCAGTAGCTGCGTAACGCGGACGTGCCAGGTATCTTGCTATGTGTGATTTATGCTGCGTGCGAAACGAGTGCGAGGCGTGCTGTCGTCTGTTTTGATCGCGGCGAAATGCGTGCGCGAACGATCGCAGCATCGCTGGGAGAGAGAGTGCATGTATGTGCGAAAGAGTGAGAGAGAGAGAGAAAGAGAGAAAAGAGGAAAAGAACAAGCGAGCCGCTAGGAGTTCGTCGGCTCGCGTCGCGAACGGCGGCTTCGAGAACCGCACGGATCCGCGGTGTCGGCGAGTCGCGAGAATTAATCGGCCGGGGTGTAACATTTCTTTCCAGATGCGATCGCCGCTCGAGCTGGCAGGTGAGGTTAAGTTTTGCGGTGCGGTGCACTGGCTCGCTTCGCTCGCCGGCCGCCGTGCGGCAGCACCGTCTAGCAGAGTGCTAACGGCGAAGGCGCCGGCACGGAGGCTCCAGCGCGCCGCGATTCGAATCGATACGCTGCAACGGCGCGCCGTTGCATCGCATGAATTTGTTTTATGATTCGAAAGAGACCCGACTTGTTTTCGAGAATGCACCCTGTTGAAAATTTTCAGATTCCCACGGACACTCAACGGGATTTGTGTGAATTCATGTAGGATATTAGAAATCTATATAGGAATCCATATGGTTTGTGGAAATTCATGTACACGGTGAAAAATTTTGCGTTGAATTTAGCATATTTCCCAAACAGTTGACTCAAGTTTTTATGTTAATTCAACACGAGGTGAATATGTTGAAAAGTAATACAAATATTATGTCAATAATTAATCCTCGAACGGTAAGGTCAGATTGACACATTATTTATATAGCACGCGCTGTTTCTCTTCTTAAGGTATGTTCCATGTTATTATTTATTCTTTTACCCATTTTGTATATTGATTATACGAAAAACGAATAAAACAAAGCGCAGGATTGGATCTAATTCCACTTTCCCGGATAAGTTGAAAATCTACCTTGCCGTTAAAAAGTTAACACAGAATTAATACATTAATCAACACTGAAGTATACAAAATGTGTTATTTTAACACTTACACATATTGAATGTCGACATAACGTAGAAAATTAGAAAATAACATAAACACAATATGTTAAATTAATACACGGATATGTTAAAAATTTGACATACAAATTTTAATAAATTTCCAATTTCAACAAAAGTACAAAATGTTTTTTGCTATGTAGGAATCCACATGGATTGTTACTTAGGACCTAGATTTTTAGTATAAATTCCCAGGGGCAACCCCGGGATTCTATATTCTATACAGATTTTTGTACACGGTAAAAAACATTTTGTATTTGTATTAAAATCGGTTCTTGCTAATATTTGTGTGCTAAATTTTTAACATTACCCCTATTAATTTAATATATTGTTTTTATGTTATTTCAGCATTTTGTGTTGAGTCGATATTCAACATGTGTAAGTGTCAAAACATACACAACATATGTAAGTGTTGAAATAATACATTTTATATTTCAGTGTCGATTAACATATTAATTTTATGTTAATATATCCATGTGTTAATTTAATATATATTATCTCAACATTTTGTTTTGCGTCGATATTTAATATATATAAATATTAAAATAATTTATTTTATACTTCAGTGTCGATTAATATATTCATTTTGTGTTAATTTTGGATATAATTTTTGTGTTACTTTTCAACATATTCACTTTGTGTTGAATTAACAAAAATTTGAATAAACCGTTTCGGATATTTGAAATGTGTTAAATTTAACACATTTTTTACTATATGGTTTTTTTTAACAGAAACGGCACTCGAAATTGCATGAGGTTTCAGGTTTGATATATACTTCTTCTGACTTTCTTCCCCGAGTTTGCAAGATCGAAATATTCACTGCGGTGACGTTCACTGATTGACGTTCTGTAGGTTGAATTGATTGCTTATCAAACGGAACATGTCACGGAGCAAAAGCAGAAATCGCTCGGAAACAGAGAACATGAATGTAACAGCGTACGCAACAACGTTATTGTTGTTAATTGCATTTCAAATTTGAGCATCTGGTTTGACTGGTCACATCGCCGACATCGACTCGCCGGGGATCTGGGAAAGCCGAAGGGTTTCGCGGATTTTTCGCGATTAATAGGGGCCTCAGGCGCAATCTCGATCGGAGTGGCGCGTTTCCGAGAGATCGCCCATTAACTGTGTGCGTCTAGCGATTCGCAAAGCAAGACGACGTCGTAAAAGGGGTGGGTCGGTCACGCCGCGGCGCCAAGGTGGCTCTGGCCTTCTCTCTCTCTCTCTCTCTCTCTCTCTCTTGAGGAAGCATCGCGGGCGGAACGCTCTCCACCGGAGAAAAAGAGAGAGAGAGAGAGAGAGAGGCAGGGAGACGCTCCTCCATTATCGTAATTTGCAAATTTCCCCGGGACCGTGATGAAAAACGACCACGAGGCGCCGTGGTTTCGCGTTGAAACGCGCGACTGCGGCGAACAGGGGAGGAAGAGCGAGAAAAAGAGAAAGAGGGGGGGAAAGAAGGAAGGAGAGAGTGGGACCGCTTAGGGGGTGAAAAGAGAGGTAGACGGCCAAGCGTGGGGAGAGGAGGAACAGGAACCGCGAAGACGGTGGCGGATTGGCGGCCTCGGGCACGGTTGCGGATTCTCGGCGTGATGCCGGTGATTCGCGGCTTTGGTGCCCAGTAATCCCGGGTCCCCTCGCCCGGACATACTCCTTCTCTCCTCCTTCGGCTCCTCTGCCTCTGCGTCTACCTCTTCCTCTCGCCCGTACTCCTCCTCCTCCCTCGCAGCCCTCTCGCTGTCTTTGATACAGCGCGGCCCGTCGTATGCCGGCGGGACGGGACGGGCGGGAGGGGGCTCAATCTCACGGTAAATACAGCAATCACTCGATGTGCCGTCCGCATTAATATAATTAGTCACCGCGAGCGCTCGAGAGCGATGCCGGGGAGCGGATTCCGCCTCGCTCCGCTCCGGGCGGCGCACGCACACGCGAAATATCGCAGCCGCGCTTAAGTATTTCGGCTGGGTGCGCGAGTATCGGGGACAGCGTGCCCTTGAGCGGTCCTTCGCGACGACAGACGGAGTCACTCGACTATCAGCCCGCCGATTATTAAATGATCGTCGATATGAGACGCTATCATCTTTCCATTTTGTGTCTAAGTCGCGCTTAGAACTAGTACAACATCTGCTTTTACGTTTGTAATCATATAACGATATAAGGAAGACGATACAAGGAAATATCGATATTTGTGCGTGAAGAGTGTCTTCTCTGTAGCTACACGGTAAAAAATTTTGTGTTAAATTCAACATATTTCACGTGGTCCAAGCGGCCTACACAAATTTTTGCGTTAATTCAATACAAGGTGAATATGTTGAAAAGTAACACAAATATTATGTCAAGAATTAACACAAAATTATAACATCCACAATATGTTAATCGATGAAGGGTGTAATGTGTTATTTTAACACTTATTATTTTAACACTTATATGTGTTGAATATTGAGATTCAACACAAATATATATTGAGATAACATAAATACAATATGTTAAATTAACACATGGATATGTTAAAACGTATGTACAAAAGGAAAAACAGACCTGCAAAATCTATGTCACGAAGAAGAAAAAGATACGTTAAAAATTTAACATAAAAATTGTTACTGTACGAATCAATAAGATTTATTTGAATTATGGTGTTGTTGAGCAATTCTGCTGATGTAACAGCATTTTTTCCCGTGTATCTTGCAAAGAGAACTCTCCCAAAATGAAAGTTGTAAGAGTCACGATAGCTTCGATAAGATATTCGTGAAAATCCGAATGATCTCTTGCGCGAATCGGACTTAGCTACCGAAAATTACCGGATTCGCGCGGCACTCGTTCCGCAACATCGTTTTGCAGAAGATGGAAGCAGATTTTGACGTACGGAATTGGCATGCCAATGGACACACCGGGTGCGTATTAACACGATGCTCTTCGTGCTTCCAGCATGGCCCCGAAGAAGGTCGAGGAACCCGAGCGGAAACCGCTCATCGGTCGCGTTGGCACTAACTTAAAGGTGGGCATAGTCGGGATTCCGAATGTCGGGAAATCTACATTCTTCAATGTCCTCACCAAGAGTCAAGCGGCGGCCGAGAACTTCCCCTTCTGTACCATCGACCCCAATGAAAATAAGTATCTTTATTTACGTGCATGAATCTAATTAGGCGAATTTTGTCCTGTTCGAAGTGCATTGAGAGAAAAAAGTAAAAGTTTAAAAATTGATTTGTGATATGTAAGATTTATTTCATAGAAGTAACATTTATTTTTGTAGAATAAATTTTGTATTCCACAAATAAATTTTACAGTACATAATAAATAGTATATAATACATTTTATGGTAGTAATAATTTTATAGTTTTGTAGTGTTTTTATAATAATATGTAAATTTTTTAATACTTTTTTCTCAGTGTGGAATTCAAGTCTGCGGTCATCGTTTAATTTTTATCTCATATTTCTGCATTAAATATATCTACAACTCTTCCTTTCAGTATTTAAGGTAGTTGTAACGCAAATTGCTGTATTTTTAACGACACATCGAGGGAGCCACTCATAAATTTAGTATTTATCAAGCAAAATTATATTCCTATATATTTATTTTACTATCTAAATAATAAACATTAATTTGAAACGAAGTTCAAGTAGACATGTTTATACAATATTACAAATATGAAAATATTATTTTTTATTTTTCTTAGTAATGCTATTTTTATGCATTAGTTGATGTAATAGGGATACACAGATAATAAAAAGAGGTATATAAGTGTTTAAATATGTGCATATGTATATGTATTTAAAGTATCATTATAAGTTATGAACTTTACATTGCTGTATTTTTAAAACAAAATAGCCATTAATTCTGAAATTTTCATACAATGTCTTTATATGTCTCTATATATCTTTAATATTACAATAGTTTTTCTAGCTAATAAAATCCTAAATGAGGTTTAGTAGAATTAAAAATAGAAGTTAAAAATAGAATATTAACCTCGAGGAATAAGTGTAAAAAGTCATCTTTCGTTGTCATCTTTAGTTGCGAATATCTCAGCTCCTGAATGGTCAATTTGCTTATGATTGCGCCATTAATTAGGTCATATTTAATTAATTAATTAATTTAATAATTTAAATATTTGTTTATTTAAATCCATATATAGTGCAAGTTTTAACAGATTCTAAAAAAATTAATTTTGTGCTACAACTACCTTATACCCGAAATTTGCCATTTCCCTTTGTTATTATATTACCTAAACCGCCCATCGCGAATATTACTACGTTACATCCGCTTTACTGATATCGAGTTCTCGATTCCAAATTGCGCACGATTCGCGTCTCACTTTATCCTGTGTAACGGTAAAATTATTGTGGCAAAGCTACGCGGAATGTAGAATTTGCGAACAACTTCACTTGTTTAACGTTGCTCGGATACGTCATCAAACGACGGTGCGCCACAAGAAGAGTTAATCATTGACGGGAGTTATCGCGAATATCGCTCGAAAGAAAATGTGCGACAAATCTGCTGAGAAGCCGGAGCAACATGTCGCGGAGGAGCATTCCCTTAACGGATCACAAGAGGACATCCAATACGCGCCGTCCTCGATCAGATATCCGAAAGCCAATTTATACTACGCTTTCGCCGAGGATACGCACCCCACAACGAGGATCGCTGTGTCTAAGTCTCTCCAGCGAGAAAAACTTCCACCGCTGGTGGCACCGTTCAATGAAACCGTCCAGATGTTTAGCTCAGCGGACGCAGCTATGACTCACTACCTCCTGACCGACCCACCGAGTTTCGTCGTTTTCGGGAAACCCGGCTTGAACAGCGTCGACCTGGCTTCTGCAATAGCCGATGCTTGGAATTGCATCTTGATCTCGCCATCGTTGCTGATACAGGAAGAGATCGACGCCGACAGCGAGAAGGGTCGATGCATGCAGAAAACTTTGGAAAAAGGTGAGCAACTAGCATCGGATGTTGTCATGAATCTGATACGATGCAGGATCCAGAAAAGAGATGTCAGACACAGAGGCTACGTTGTCGAGGGCCTGCCGCTCATTCCAGATAAGACGAGTTTCGAGGACGGTCAGTCAGAATCTTGCAAGGACCAATTGATATGTGAGATGTGCGATCGGACCGTATCCTGCCATCAGTCTGACAAGTTAGCTGATCACTCAGTCTGTAAGCTGCAATCTGATTATGAGCAACAAATCCCACAGCAGATCGACGAGATATTCAACAAGTTGCAGAGGAAGCCTTCCATTATTATCTACATGGTGTGCCCAAAGCCAGACGTCGTGATCATGCGTGAACATGCGGAAACAGCGGCAGCTGACACTGTTGCTGAAGATATACTTGATGAAGAGTCGCACCCGCCGCTCGATGTCCGACAAGATACCAAGGAGCAACCGATCGTGAACGACGATCGAAGGAATAATTACTCAGAACGAGTTCCCGACGTAAGGCGTGAGGTTGAGCTACAGTGCGATCTGTACACGCGACTGGCGCTACCGACGATCGACAAGTGGATCCTCGCGCACGATCCTCGGCGTGTGATCCGCGTAGATGGACGTGGCTCGACGCAACGGATGTTTCAGACCCTCGACGCATGTCTACGCATGTTGCCGTTGCAGCCGTCGATTTTGCCCAAGCAGATGACGGTCGAAAAGGTCAACATAGAGGAGGGTCATGAAGAGATCTTCGAGATTCTACGACAGAGAGAAATCGTGTCGGCCGAATTCCCCTGGAGATTGTCTGCGTGGAAGTTCTTCTGTCCAGTGAAACTGGCTCTCGGACAAAAGGAGGACAGATGTAAAGAATACACGGTGAGATTTCTAGGATACATTTTCTTCTTATCGTCTCAAGAATCTGTAGACTTGTTTATCGAGAACCCAAGGACGTTTCTGTTACCGCCGAATCCTCAGCCGATTTGCAAGATAGCGGTGATCGGGCCGCCGTATAGCGGCAAGTCAGAGCTCAGCCTACGATTGGCGAAGGTCTTCGGTGGAACGGTAATAAACGTGAACGAATTGCTGAGAAACTGTCCTAATAATATATATTACATGAATATTGATGAATACGATGGAAACGTTAGAAATTACGATGAAGTCAGTGCATGGTTATGTAATGCTATTGAACAAAATATTAAAAAAATACCGAGAGAGGAACTTGAAGACGAATTATACAAAGACGGTGGATACATTGTGGATGGTATACCCATCTACGCTTGGATTAAAATATTCAGTAAAATCAGATTTATGCACGTTGTCGTTTTATTCGAGGATGCATATACTTCGAATACCTACAGAAATTCCTTCGTGTTACATACCAGACATAGCGAATATCAAAATACACTATATGAATATAGACGAGATTTGAATAAGATGAACAAATACCTACAGACGTTACAATGTAACACATTTTTCATTAATCTCGCGAATATCGAAGATATGACCGAAAACGTGTTGGATAATTTGAGATGGAATTTCAAACCCGCGACGAACGACAAGAAGACGGAAACTTTGCAAGGAACAACGTCCACGGAAAACAACATCGATGAGGAAACGAACGAAGACGAAGAGGAACATTTCTCGCGCGTCGTCGATCTCGAGACGGCCGAGCGACTTCTCGCTTGCGGCTACTATTTCCTCAGCCCCTTCGGCCGATGGTGTCCGGTGCAAATGTACGCCAACGTGATCCTCGTAGCCCACAGCCCGAACTTTCCGTTCATCTATCAATCTCAGATCTACTTCCTCAGCGGCGAAGAAGCGCTCCTCGCTTTCTCAAAGGAGATCTCAAAGTATCTCGCACGGGGCTTCCGTTTGCCGGCTTTGCCGCTTCGAATCGCCATCATCGGGCCGCCGAAGTGTGGGAAAACGACGCTGGCGGACCGTTTCGCGAAGACCTATGGCCTGAAGCGAATCACTCGCGACATAGCGTTACGCCACGTGCTGAAGCATTACAGCTGGACCGAATCAGCACAAGTGGCTAAGGAAAAGCTCCAGGCGAACCAACCAGTTCCCATCGAGTGTGTGATACGCGCCATTGAAGCGCTCTCTCTGGGACCGCGCGCAGCCTCGCAGGGTTACGTCCTGGACGACTGTCCCTTGAGTCGTGAGGAAACTGAGCAGCTGATTCTGTCGGGGATCCAGCCGATGATCGTGCTGGATCTCAAAGCGGACCTGCCGTCCTGCCTGAACTGCCTTCAGACTGGGAGTAATGACGGTACGGATGCCACCGTCTCTTCTGACTTCCTGGCGCGCTACGAGACCTGGCAAGTGCATCAGGCGAGCTTCCGGGATTGGCTGAAGAAGTTTTCGCGGAACGTCGTCGAGCTGGATGCCACCGACAGCAAATGGCGCGTGTGGAGCGTCGCAGATGGTGCGGTGCGCTTGAGATTCGCCGAAATCGCGCTCTATCAGCGAGACGCTGATCTGGACAAGGTGCACAGACTCAGGTACATGTGCGTGTCGCCCTTCGAATTCCGCGAGCGGCAGAGTCAGTATGAATCCTATTGCCCGGCCTGCTTGTTCCGGGAAGGCGTCGTGCAGGCCTCCATACAGCCAACGGATAACCAGGGAGTAGTGCAGTACCAAGAGCACTTTTACTGGGTTTGTCCGCAGCATATGGCCGCCTTCATAGAGGATCCCTGGCAGTATCTTCCTCCTATCAACACTGCGAGCCTGCCTGACGAGCGGTTGCAGATACTCGAGCCGGTGATCGACGTGGAGCACTCCTGCTTACAGCGACGGCTCCGTCTTGACGGCTGGTGCCCGGTGACTTACGTCGATGGCCCGGCGGACCGCAGACTGATCCGCGGCAGAGCCGACTTGGCTGTGCTGCTCGGCGAAGAGGAAGTTTATCTCCTATGCAGCGAGGAATGTCGTGACAAGTTTCTCGCGAGGCACGGCGACTACCGCAACGTGGAGATCACGCCTGCTCACGAGGTCGACCCGCGGGGTCTGCCGGACATCCTGGAGCGCACGTTGGTAAAGGAGGTGGTCGAAGCGGTGAAGCGGGTGGCCGCGCTGCGCCCAAAGATGGTCGGCCTGTCGGCGGCCGCCAGCGCGGCGATCCATATTGGCGTTCACCTGAAGACCCATCATGCGCGCGCCGATGCGAACGAGACGCTCGTTTATGAGCTCGCTGACAAGCGGATGGCCGCGCGCGACGAGATCGTTAGGATCGTCACCGACATCGTGAAGACCAGGCCCAATCCTTACGCGGAACACGCCGTCGACATCGGGTGCAACTGTTGTCCTGGGAATCGAGAGTGTCTGTTTGACTGAGTCCCGTCGCGTCAAGTTGAGAGACGCGGACTTGAATATTCATATATATCCACCGGGAGATCGTTACCCGCGTTATCGTTAATTGTTAAGTCGTTAATCGATTGTCATGCGGTCGAGGGAGACGAAGCTATCCGATTTTTCTTTTCTCTTTCTTTTTCAGCACGTCGCGTTCCGGTGCCCGACGCAAGATTCGACTATCTCTGTGAATATTTTAAGCCGGCTAGGTAAGAAACGAGCAACGGAACGACGAAACGTTCCTGAAATATACGTCGGTGCGCGGGAAGGAGGGCTAGGGGGAGGGGAGGGTAAATGTGTAAGCGGAATAAAAGCATATATAGCGCTGTCTAAAGATGTACCCTTGTGAAGGGAAACGAGTCGGAATAACCGGGGGGACACATTTCCATACTTCGCTTTTATTCTCGCAAGAAGACGGTGGAAAGGGGGAGGGGATTGGGAGGAAAGGCGAAGGGAGTCGATCTGCAATGCAGATTGCGCGAAATTCGTCTACGAGACGACACAGAAGTCCGCGCGGGACGGTATTCGCCCGTGTGTTACACGTTCTTCTTCTTCTTTATTCGCATTTGCTACACGTGTTACTGCGTTGGATTTTCGGCATGAGTAACATCGGCTAGTGTAAATTTTTGTTGATAAGGGAATAAAACACGCATCGGCGACGACGAATCCATCTGGGTTAGTCGGGAAGTTCGGTTCATCTTTTAAATCGGGTTTCGCTTCACCGCGATGGATGGAAACAAATCTGTGACTTCGTGAAAATGTTGCCTTTGTAACGATATGTTTCATAGATATGTGCGATATATTTGATAGATATATATGATAGACATATGATAGATATATAATTAATAAATATGATTGATAAGTACATGGAAGAAATTAGTATCAAAATTCAAAACTCATATTCTTATATATAAACAAGAATTACAGGAGATATATAAGAGGAGAAAATATTAGGTAGAAGAAATGATATCTTCAAACTAAGAATTGTACTTTGAAGATATTATTCTTTCTTTTTCTACAATTCACATGAAAATTATTCTTGTGAATAACAAGAGTGGTAATTTTTAGAGGAACCTGTATAGAACTGTACATATATATAGAATTTCTTTATGTAAGCAAGTTTTATCTTGATATAAGATTAGTAAAAATTTTGTACAAATAATTGACAGTAAAAATTTTGTAGAAATAACTGGAATTTTTGTGTTACTTTTACATGGGAATATGTTAAAAAATACATAAATATAAATTCACATATTCACCTTGTTAACATGTTACTTTTTATCGTATTCATCTTGTTAAAGTAACACAAAAATTTCATTGGACTGTTATTTACACAACATTTTTTACTGTGTATATATATATTCTTCCTTATATATAAAAATATGAGTCTTAAATTAATAGCAATGTTTTTCTATGTATACATGATAGGCATATGATAGATGTACGATTGACAAATGTGTGATAAACGTTTAATGGATACATTATAGACATTATCAGCATTGTTACTTGCATTATATGCATGCGACATTGGTTATTGAAGATCGAACCGAACTTTTTGGCCGGCCGAGCACAAAGATCATTTCGAGCGTAATACAGCGTGCGACGAAGTAACGAACGCGAGCAACGTGGACGACAACAAAAACCCATAGACCCGCGACGCGGCGAGAATAATTCGGCACCTCCATTGAGGAAACGACAATATTTGATTACGCTGCGCTCACACGCGAACGCGACCCTCGTGTTACTTCGGGTCGAGCAGTCAGCCGACCATCAGTCGATCGGCTAATAAAATCCCGGCGCGGCGTTCGGGCTAAATGTAAATCGCGCTTGTCTTGCGACGAGATTCGACGGGAATCGAAACATTGAAAATGCGAAACAGCCGGTCGGATCAAAGAGCGGCCGATTCATCCGTGCCTCTCGTGCCCGCTCGTTCGCTCCATTATCGTTCTCTCGTCTATGTCGGCGGTGGCAGCCACCCCGACTACCGGCACGTGTCGGATGATTCGACGATCCGTGATGAAAGCCGGCTAATACACCATCTCCCTGCTCGCCGCCATGGCCAGTCCCGTCCACTTTCGCCGACGCCTCCCTTCAAAGGCTAATTGTTTAATGAGCCTGTTGGCATTAGCATTTAAATATACCTCGTTGTCACCGGGTCGCTCCCTCGTTTCCATTCGACGCGCGCGCGTGCATCGTCGCGATGGCACATGCCTTCGACCTTTAATCGCGCCCGTCATCATCGGCGATCTACCTAGCGAGGGAATCGCAGCACCGACGGACGCGAAAAACGCAACTCGGTCTCTCTTTCTCTTTGTTGTGACAATGTCGCGCCGGCCAGTCGAATTTGTTTGCCTTTCTCATTCGAAGGAGGACCCCGCCGGAGGATTCGTAACTGGTGGAAGTTCGTATTTTCAGCAAGGTGCCAGCCTTCCTGCACGTGATGGATATCGCCGGGCTGGTGAAGGGCGCCGCCGAGGGCCAGGGTCTGGGGAACAGCTTCCTCTCGCACATCGGAGCCTGCGATGGCATATTTCACCTTTGTCGTGAGTACGGTGCCAATTAACTGAGAGAACGACACCCGTGATCTTGACGTTTGAATAACATCGTAGGTTTATTAGGCCTATATTATGAGAAAAATTATTAATATTGTAAAAATCATGGATTTTTTTGTATCTTTTGGCATTTTTAAATGAATTATTAAGATAGTTATAGCACAAAATGAGTTTTTTAAGAATTCGTTGAAAGTTGCACTATACATAAATTTAAATATAACCTAATTATTGGCGCAATTAAAAATCAATTCGAACGACCATTCGGAAACTGAGATATTCGTCGATAATTAAAAATATTTTTTATATGCATTGAGAAATCAATTTAGTTGACTCAAACAAAATTCTTGTTTGAATATGGATAAGAAAATTTTTTGATTTTGAGAACCAAAATTTGATTCTCTGAACCAAACCTTTTTTATTTTCGTTTCAACGAATCAAACCTTTGGTTCAGAAATCTTCTCACAACCAAAACATTTGTCTGCCTATATTCAAACAAGGATTTTATTTAAGACTAAATGGATTTCTCAAGGCATATTCCTTCAGATTTTAATATCCTACTTATAATAGAACTATTAATATAAACTATTAACACATTAAGGGCGGGAGTCGTAGTACTACGATTTAGCTCGACTGCGGCTTAAAGGCGGGAATCGTAGTAAAACAATTTAGCTCGACTGTACCTTAAAGTTTTTATGATAACACAAAATATCGCCCGCCGTTAATGTGTTAATATAAGAACTATTAATATAAGCTATTAATGTAAGAACTATTAGTATAAGGATAATAATCCTATTTATATAAGCTTTATTTATATAAGCATTAAAAAGAAAAAAAAATAATATTTTCGTATTTTATAATATCGTATATATATGTCGACTTTAATTTCGCTTCAAATTATTATTATTTAGGTAGTGAAATAAATGAATAGTAATTTTCCTTGATAAATACTAATTGCTCCCTTGATGCGCTACTGAAAATACACTCTACAATATAATTATTTTAAGTTTATTACCAATGTTTACAATGTTTCTTACAATGTATGTTACAATGTTTATTTATTCGCTTTGTAGACTGGTTGTCACCAGGAAACTAAGTATCTTATTGGATCTAACTAGTAATATCAGTTGTCACGTGGTCTTTTTTCTAACTAATAGATTTTTTTTCTAATTAATAGAGGAATAGAAATGGGGTAGAACTTCTTGCACGAAACGTAGAAAAGGGGGCAGGTGAAAGAAAACGCGTGTAGGCATCGTAGGCCTAACATGTTACTGTCAAGGTTAACGAGTCTGTCATTGTCTCCTTTGATGTTATTTGTCGCGCGTTTCGTTCCTCGTTTCAACGTTCGTCGTCGATACGCGGCGCATTCTCGCGTAAAAGCAGATAACAGCGAGCGACCACATTTCTACAAGAACAACTCGGAACGCGGAATCGCGATAAGGGCGATTGCGAATAGGCAGGAATTTTCGTCGATGGGATCAGGAGATTAGTTACGAGCGATATTTACCTATTTCGCACGTCGGACGTGTGATCGCGGTCGGTTTTACGACGTGTACGTGTGTTCCTCGCGGAGCGCGTTACGGGCGCGTTATGACCGTCGTTAAGTATGTTCCTGGAAGCTCGTTGCGTTATTGTGCCCGGCGATATAATGAGAATTGCGCGATTTACGCTTACGTTACGCCGAATTTGAATACGCCCCCGCGATGCACAAACTATAAATACGTATACGCCCACTTATGCTTATAAATCACGCCAAATATATATAGCAGCTATCTTATTTTTTATAAAATTTTTCTTCTAAAACTTGGTGTATTTTTGTAAAGGGAATTTAACATGTTATACTGAAAATGGTGCAAAATCTAGTTTTTTACACGATTTATCTTCAATTCTCAGGTTTCTTTTGTAAAAGGAATTTAATAGAGGAAAAGCATCAAAACATACCATTTTGTTTTTGGACTCTAAAAATATGTTAAAAATGTAAAATGAAAATTTATATACATGGATACAAACTTGCAATACTTCTCTACCGAAATATATGATAGTATTATGAAAATTATTACATATTTCTTTGCAAATAACTATTTTTTAAGATTAAGTTCACGTTTTGTCCGACGGAGCTCGACATTTACAGTCGAAAAACATGGATATGTCAGTTTACCATATCTATGTCTATTTTGGTGCTTTTCTTTTGTACTATGTCGAAAATAGGGAAATCTTAATTTTATGCATTTTTTTTCTTGTTTGGAATTTCGTGTTTTTTCATAGAGGAAATTTAATACATAGAGAGCTGTATAGAATTAAATTGATCGTACGATAATCTTCGCTATTGACTACGATCGAGCAGAATTTTCTTCCTGCAAATTGCAGTATGGAGAATTTTCATTACGGCGCGGTATCATTTAGTCGTAATGTCGTAGTCGTCGATGGAAATTCGCGGCGACGTTCGGTTTCGTGTCTGCAGGGGTCGTAAGAGCGTTAACCCGCTTGTGCTTCGCGTCGCTATAATGTAACAAGTAGTAATTCACGCAAAACGATCGTCGGGCAGATATTACATTCGTACTGAGAGAATAACATTTCGAGAAGCAGTTTCGCCGGTTAATACATCTTGCCGGGCCGCCGACAGGTGGTAATTTTTTCAATTAAAGCAACTCGGCAATCTTCGCGTGACGGTGGCTTGCTTAAATAGTCGACATGCGAGAGCTTCGCCGTCGAGGCGAGTGTTACTCACTGAAACAAATGTCCAGAAGCGCGGTTCGCGTTTCCCCTTCCCGTTCTCGTGAGATCTACTCACTACGCCTACGCTTTCTTTCTTCTATCAGGTGCCTTCGAGGACGATGACGTCACTCATGTGGAGGGCGATGTGAATCCCGTGAGGGATCTCGATATCATCAGTGAGGAGCTGCGACTGAAGGATGTGGAATTTTTGAACACGCACCTCGAGAAACTCGAAAAGCTGGTTATCCGCGGCAACGACAAGAAGCTGAAGCCTGAATACGTAAGTACTTGATCATTACCTCCCGTTCTTTTTCTTGAAAAAAAAAGAGAGAAAAAATTTCTCGATCGAAAAAATGTATCTTTTCCGTAAGAATGTTCTTCCGGTGATTAGAAGGGTGTTCAGTTCTTGTAGAAATTCTTTTTGGTCTATCTTTACTCTTTTAATATCTGCCATACCATAGAGTATATGATAATTGCAAAATAAGGATTTCTCACAGAATAGTTGTTCTTAACAGTATCTTGCGAAAATTCTTAATCTTATTAGATTTTTAATAAATCTTAATAGAATCTAAATTGAATTTTTTAAATAGATTTTTAGTAAGGAAATTTTATTCTGTTAAAAAGAAAGATAAATAAATTATCTCTTTGTTTTTCGCAAAACCTTGGAAAAAGAATGAAAGTCATGAAATATCTATTCTGAAAAAAAAAACGTAACTGTTTAAAGAGAAATTCAAATGAATGATACACCGAAGATTAAGAAGATTATAAGGCAAAACGAATTTGATAAGAAATCGATTGACCATTCGAGAGCTGAGATATTTATAATTAAATTTGGCACTTTTTATACACGTTTCTTAAGATTAGCTATTTTCATAGGAATGTCATTTTTCTTGATAAATACTAAATTTATGAATGGCTTAACGCGCCACGGAAAATATGACCTTTACAATCTTCTTAAGGTGTTCATCGTTTAATGTATCTCTCTCTCTCTCTCTCTATCTCTCTCTTACTCAGGATTTACGAATTAATCCCCGGCCATCCCATCGCACCGGTCACTTTATATGTATTATAATCCGTGTGACGTAATCATCGATATTTCCTGTCGCATGGACACACGTTACCGCGAGAAGTCGCAATAATTTCACAGGAGAACCGTGAGTCTCTGAAAAATCGCTGTTCCGCGCGACGATTTTGCCGTCCGCGATCGACCCGTTTTCATCGATGCATAAACAAGCGCTTATAATATGCAGGTTACTTTCCACAAACAAACCACACGATTCAACCCATCCGACCGTTAATCTTCGCGGTGTAACGCCTCATTTGCTATCTGTGTGCATTTGCGTACACGATACTCGCGAAGCCGTATCGCGGTTTCGCGCACGAGTCCCTTCGCTCCCGTGGCTTCGTAGCGTTGTTTACGCCAATTGTTTACGTTAGTTTGCAGACACGTTTAACCCTTCGACCGTACATTTCTGAAAAGTCGCTCGCACCGCAAACATGGTCATATTGACCTTGTGCGATGTTCTAAATTCTATATTTGAAAAACTGTAAGAGGAAAGAGATTGACAAAATTCCAAAATAGAAAGTAACTCTTCTACTTTGATGTGTGATTATGTATTCATAGAAAATCAAGTTTCGAGTTACTGAAAAAAATTCGAATCTAGACAATGGACTCGCGAATAGTAGTGTTTTATTTTTTAAATGGTAATTTCTCTGTTTTTTATTATTTTGATCTGCAACTGTAGGACGATAAAGTTGAAAGATAGTTCTAACAGAAAAATATGCCCCTAGTGTGCGTCTCTAGTCTCTAGTTCGAGAAACATTTTTTGAATAATTGAAAAAAGATATTTTGAAATGTCGAAAATAGGTATGTTTGTGTGAAAAAATACTTTTCTTATGAAAGTATTGGAAATAGTTTATTTTTTATTTGCAAAATGGTAATACGCATTGTTTAAAAAAATAATTATTATTTAGGACCATCTTTTGCTGGACGCATTTGTGTAAATTACACGTCATCTGACTCTATATAATTCTAACATATTATTATTTATTATATTCAAAAAAATAATATGCTAATCACAATGCTTACTTACGTTCATATATAAATTTTCAGCAAAAATAATCACTCGTGGCGTCAAATTATACACGGACCGCACATTATGGGTCTAATTGACCCCCCCTCCCCTCCTCAAATTCGAGTGACTCCCAAACGCGTATTAATCAGCTTATCAAATTCGCATTACTTCTAACGAACAGAGCGACTCTTTAACGATTTTTCGAGAGTGAAGAGAACTCATAAATCACGTGCTTCTCTTGGCTATAGCTTTTCAAACGCAACTCACCGGGTCTATTTGACCCATAATCCGGTCGAGGAGTTAAAGGGCACTAAAGACCGGCGTGCTCGTTACTACCCTTTCCCGTCGATTTCGCCGGGCGAATTTCCTCATCACGAGAGAAACCCCAAGAAATTTCCTCGCGGTCTCTCACCCCCTTTGGCTCTCAGGGTTCATACGCGCGACGTATGAATTCGCCTACCTACGCCTGCCCGGCCACGAGTACATCGCAGCCCCTTTGTCGGATCAACTGCGAAATTACCGGGGAAATTAAGAGAACGCGGGCGAAGCGAGGCTTCCTGGAACGAGTCGATCGTCGGATTACCCTCCTTCCGCGGATTGACCCCCGGTAATTACCGATCTCCCCCTCTTGTTCTCGACTTCGCAATTTGGCAAAAGTTTTCGAGGATTCGGAGCTACCTTTTCGTCCTCTCTCTTTCTCTCGGCGGCGGCGGAGGAACTAATGGGACCTCGCGGCCGACGTACGATCCTCTAATCACGATTCGATCGCGAAATTATCCTATCCTCGATCGGCCGCGTTTGTTCGTTCGTGCAACTCTGAATCTCGCTTCCCGGCGAGATCGGCGACGAGTGACGTGGTCGCGATCGATCGCCGAGAATCGTGGCCGCAATTACGCAAGGTGCACGAGGAACTTGAATAGCTCGAGCAGAAATGCTTAATCCGCGTTTCGTCCTCAGGATACGCTTCTGAAGGTTAAGGGCGTCCTGATGGAGGAGAAGAAACACATCAGGTTCGCCGACTGGAGTGCCAACGACGTGAGTTTACACAGTTCGCGTCTTCGCGCGTATCGGGCCGGTCAAAAAGTTCAGTTCAATCTGAATTGAGTCGAACTTGGCTTTATTGCATGAAAAAATATAATTCTATTCGGTGTAACTGAATTTTCTGTTGCCTGAAGGCCTGAAAACTCAATTGAAGAAATAGAAAAATTTCTACACAAAGAAAAAGGTTTCTTTAAATTTAATATACGTGTTTGTTTCACTTGGGTTTGTTTAATATAAATAACAATTTAATATCAAATATCAATATTTTGTTTGAGTGAAAATATTGTTTTATTAGAATAAACCATTGTTTGATAGAAAAAACAGTTCATTCAGAGGAAATATCTGGTTTTTAATTAAAAACAAATTATTTCATTGTATATTAAATATTACTCCACTAAAATAAAATAAAGAGTTTCAAATATTTTTCTAACATAGTGTAGTTTCTTTCAAATAATTTATTGTTTGTGACAATCATGATTTCAATAATATTTGGATGAAAATACAAACGTATATGTTATTTGATGTCATTTGTCGTTTGTAAAGATATTCATCGTTTGAGAAATGAAATATTTCTATTTGTTGGATCAAACATTCGTTTGTTTGCTCCATTCCAAAAGACAAATTTGTTTCAATTAGAAATTAGAAAACAAGAAATTTTACCAAATTTCCAAAGAAATCTTTTTTCTATGTACCCTAAAAAATAAATATGCGAAAGATATTTTTTACTTTTTTGGATATTTTTACAGGAGATTTCTATACAGAGAAAAAGGTGTCTCTGGATTTAATATCTCTTTAATTGAAACAAATTTGTTTTTTGGAATAGAATAAACATTATCAACGTGTTGCATATATGTAAAGTGATTAATTAAAAATCGAACTGACTTTTTGACTGACCCGATTCTTGATATTCATCGCGAACTCAGTGTCTAACTTGAAATTTTCGTTTTCAGATCGAGGTGCTCAACAAATATCTATTCCTCACATCGAAACCTATCATCTACCTGGTGAACCTGTCGGAAAAGGATTACATACGCAAGAAGAACAAATGGTACGTATCGACGCGATCTTAACTCAACGTTTGCTCGAAACTATCCCTTCCTGCATTCATCTTGCATTGTATTCTCTCATTCTTCCTCAGGTTAATCAAAATAAAAGAATGGGTTGACAAGAATGACCCAGGCGCGATCTTGATCCCTTTCAGCGGCATTTTCGAGAACAAGGTCCTCGACATGGACGAGGCGGAGCGCGCAAAATACTTCGAGGAACACAAAGTCACCAGGTTGGCCATCAGCTTTTCTCTACATCGTTCATCCGTTACGAACGATCATTACCTGCGCCCTCCTCGGCGAGGTTCTCTCGCGGCTTGCTGTTGTTGTCGCGCTCGCAAATGAGAGGGTCCAACTGCGCGTCGCTCGCCGCCTTTAAACTCAAAAGTTCGGTAGTTCGGGTTCTCTCTCCCTCTCTCCTCGGCATATAGCCGTCGCTCATTGCTGGTCGTCTGCGCTTCGGCGACGAAGCGCCGCGAGATTGCAGGGGCATGGCGGAAAAAAAGGCTCAAGAAGGCGTTCGTAAAAATCCGGCGAACGCGTCCGTCTCCCTCGACGCGCTCCGGGTTCCCACATTTAGCTATGCACCGAGTTATCCTCTAACGGTAATAATAATGGTGCCCGGGTCCGGGCGTCTAGACTCGTCCCGTTCTCTCCCTTTTTCTCTTTCTCTCACCACGTAGGACGACGTGGGGCTAATAAAAACGACGACGTGGCTGCCCGCTGCTCCGACGCGGCGCATTATATTTTTACGAACAGCTATTCAAATTCTTGCAAAATTGCATGAAAACCCCTCCCGCCCTCGCGGGCACACGCTGCTATAATCGGAAAGGTGGGTGGAGCGGAGTGGTAATCGACGGTGGTTCGGTAATTCGATTGGTTAGTGGGTCATTCGTACCCCACGGGCGTGCGTTGCACGTGGTATAACGCTCGTAAACTCCGTAAACTCACGTCTACGGTCTCTCTTTCTGCTCGCAGGCTCGTATCGCCAGTCTCGATCGTCCTGCGTTTTTCAATCGTACGTGACCGTAATCACCGGCCGAGATTTAATTAACTGTGTTGTTGAAAAATCGCGGAATTGCAAACGGTACGGTTTCCCTTCTTTTTCTTCTTCTTCTTCTTCTTCTCTTTGCGACGCTTCGAGTGGAAATCATTATCTTGCCGAGCCGGGACACACTCGAACGCGGATACGAGCGGATACTTAAGAGAAACGAAAGAGAGAGAAACCGACGGAATGTATTTTTCCGCAGCGTTCATTATCTCCGCCAGACTCTCGCGAATCGGATCAGAGAGTGGCCAGAGAGTGGAAGAGGTCTATGATAGTCGAGTTTTGCCTAATAATCGGGGGGGATACAAACGAAGGGACGGCAGATACCGTGATTTTATTTCGAGACCGCAGATAACCGAGGCACCAGGTACACGGGTCCTCGCCGGAGAGAGAGTCGGAATGATAAAATTGCGGTATTAAGTCGTTCAGCTTTATGTGTATTCTCTGAACTCTTGGAGTTTGCCGGGCCCACCGCGCGTTGGATGTTGGGCTCCACTTGCGCTAACCTGTCATTAGACGATATTTGGCCCGGGACAATCTTATTCCACAATGCCGCGCTCGGACACCTCTCTCCCTTCCTCACTCTTTCTCTTTTTTTTCTCCTCTTCGCCGCGAATACGCCCTTATTTTGCGACCCATTCAACCGGAGATAATAGATCTTAAATCTACTTATCATTTCGGTAGAGAAGATTTTTTTTCTCATCTTATAGCACACCATGAGACATTTGTCATAAATCTGGATTTATTGTGTCTTCTCTTTTATTCAGTGCACTCGACAAAATTATCACACAAGGCTACAAGGCGCTGCAGTTGCAGTACTTCTTCACGTCTGGTCATGATGAAGTTAAGGCATGGACGATTCAGGTAGGCGCAAATGACGACGAATAAAATGAGCCGATTTTGGTCCCAGAGGGGCAAACAAAAACGTTTTGAAACGTTGTAGATTGAGCTACTATATCTGATTTTGAGCTTTAAAAGTTTTAATTTGTTGAGCAAGTATTAAAACCAGCATATGAAGTTATTAAACGTCTAGTACCGTATTAGTACGATAAATTATTATTGTTGAGCTTTATAAACGTATTTATTCGTGTTTTCCTGCTAGTAAGACGTGATAATGCTCTCATCTCTAATAGTTCATGTTCTGATTAGCCCACATCCGTTTATTCTATACAGTGGAATTCTTTATATTCACACACTTTTGGGGCCGAAATGTGATTATTTTTTTCTCAACGTTTTGTTCTTTCATTCTTATGAATATATTTCCCTATGCGTAATATATAGATTTTCGTTCATTAAAAATATTTTACTATATTGTAGTATTTTACTACTGAAAATTGTAAGATTTACACAAGAAATATTTTTATAATCACTATGATCCCCTTTGACCAAGTCTCCTTTATTTATTAAATTCTGTCGATTATGAAAGAATCATGCTCTCCCATTATAAGAAAAAGGGAAAATGACATCATCTCTGTTAAATTTCATCTCTATGAAAATTACATTATCAAATTACAAATCTAATATTCAATTTATATTTACAAAATCTATAGAAAATCTATACAAAATCTATACAATATCTTTGATATAGATATTTATACAAAATCTATATAATCCATAGAATATTTATAGAATCGATTTATATTTATAGGATTCAATTGATATTTTACAGAAAGGTACGAAGGCGCCCCAGGCTGCCGGGAAAATACACACAGACTTTGAGAAGGGCTTCATCATGGCGGAAGTGATGAAATTCGACGACTTCAAGAACGAGGGTTCCGAAGCCGCGGTCAAGGTACGCCGAGAACGAGAGACTATTTCTACTTTAGACAGTACGTAACGTGACTTCCCTCTCCACTTATTATGCGCTTTCCGCTTTGTCGACAGGCCGCCGGCAAGTACAGGCAACAGGGACGCAATTACGTGGTCGAGGACGGTGACATTATCTTTTTCAAATTCAACGCGGGCGCCGGATTAAAAGACGCAAAGAAGAAGTGATGGCACGCGTTTCTCATGTTGTTGCTCGTCCACTTGTACATCAACATGATCCTGCTATCTTGGTGCACGCATCAACCGCGCGTCAATCAGTCCGACTCGCTTCCCGATCCTCCCTGAGTTCTTTCTCACTCGTGACAGTCACTCGCGGAGTCTCCCGACGGTCACACACACGATGGCGACAGTTATTTTTCTATCGATTCTCCCCGTCTGTCGTGCTCTAACCACGGTTGCATTTGCGTCCGACGTGTTTCCGTCGTCGTCGGGGGTAATTCGATGGTCTCTTCTTGTTGAAAAGCACGGCGCGCGAAATGGCGCCTTAACATAGCGACGGGACGGGCGTGCTTCCCGTCTTAGCGAGTAACGTGTTTTGCGAGCGCACCAGTGGCGCCGTATTCTCACAATTATCGCTGCGTGTACATAATTAGCGGATCTCTTCAGATCAAGTTCTTGCATTTCTTGTCTTTGATGCGGACATACGCGTGCGCGAAAGAGAGAGAGAGAGAGGAATGCGAAGGGATCGAGGAGAGAGAACGACGTGTTTGAAGCATTTCTTTGTACTACTCTGTATTTATTCGACGACTATTAAAATAGATTGACGTAAAAAAAGAAGATAAAAAAGACTATAGTTGCGTTTCACGCGAAAACTCGCTCCGTGTCGCGTGCGCTTTCCCGAGACTACGCGACGATTTATCATCCGCGTCGAGATGGCACGCGGTGATCGCGCACTCGACTTTCAGATGACACGACAAGCCCACATTTGCAACTTTCCACTGCGCTAACGACGAGATCGTGACCTCCCAGAAGTTCCTTTCCCCTCTCTATCCTTGTGATGCGGCGACAGCGCGATCGCGGCGTCACTTTTGGGCTCCGCTTCCGACCTTTAGACCACTCTGCCAGCCACGTGTTGTCAGCCGTTGTTGAAGGCTTTGTTGAATAGTCGGAACTTCAACCATTGATAAAACTCCACTTCTTGTGCGAGGGCTGTCCTCAGGGACGCGTCTTTCACCCGCAGCTTGAGACACTGTGGAGACGGCCGAATGCTTCCCTCGCGGTCCTGCGAGAGCGAGCAACGGATTTATATCGATGACGGAGGAACGCGTAACGTCGAAATTGATCGGAGAAGCGTCTCCTGTGTATACAGTAAACAATTTACAGGCGATACTTACGGAACTGCTGGTAAATACGAACGGCGCCTATAAAGAAGTAAGGAAACTCGAGCGCCAGCGCGTTTAACGACTCCTCCATGTAATCTAGTATGCCGACCACAGGATACCATCGGACGACGTTCGAGTTCGTCAATACCTACGTGCTGTTTTGTTCCCTGAAAAGAGGGAAATACGCGCGATAGAAAATCAATTTACAAGCAAGGTGGCAGTAGCAATGTTTGGACACTACCTGACCCAGGAATTTTTGAACTTTAGCACGTTCTATGTCGCGTGTGTGTGTCCATATAGTATAAGTCTCAAAAGACACCTTAAAGATACCGAAAGATATTCTTATTTGTTAATTGGCTTCTATTGTTTTTTCTATTTACACTTTTAAACCAAAGAAGCTCGATTGTTACAATCTTGATTTTTCAAGATATTTCATGATTGTATTTTAGGTCTGTTCGTTTTCGCTGCACCGCTGAACTGGTGCAATAAGTTAAAGCGAGACAAGTATGTTTTCTCACTTCAACTTATTGCACTAGTTCAGCGGCGCAGCGAAAACGAACAGACCTTTTGTTTAGAAGCCAGAATATCTAACTAGTCTGGATATAACTTACTGTACATGTTATTATACAAATAAAATTTGATACACGCACACATATACACATAACAGGACAACGTGAGTCACCGGTCCACGAGAAGTCATGTAAAATTAGTCTGACACGGAACGTGTTAATATAAATATTTAAACTTTCAACATGAAATATATATACACACATATATCGAATATATACATGTACTCCATGTTGAAAATTTAAATATTCGTATTGAAAGGCCAAAATAATGAGAGTGTTCAGTACAAGACACGTGTCCAGGCATTTTCTTTTCTTCGCGCAAGCATTCGCGTTACTCATGATGGCCGCTTGAACGAAACAAAACCAGTAATGCTTGTTATATTTTTTCTAGAAAAATACTTGCGATTTTCGGTCGCGATAACATCCGGACGTGAATTAATAAAGCACCCGTTCGCCCGTGAAACTATCGCGCTGCATAAAATTCCGCGGTTGGCGAAAGCTCGCATATGTATTCAGACCAACGGAGACCTGTCGTTGTACTCATGTGCAGCAAGGTTCCTGGCCGTAGAGATGAGGTATGGCGCTGCGATAGAACGCTCCTTTCTTCTTCCCGTACCTGAATTGTGCGCGTTTCATATTATTTCACTTGAGAGAGCATGATAGCCAGCCAATAATATTATATTACCGATAATACACGAAGATAAAAAATTCATTGTCGATTAACGTAACAATGAATGAACCAAATGCATTTTGGTTGATGGAAATAGAATTTCTGGTCCTTGTAACCGAATTTGGTTCATAAGCATCAGAGATTCTGTTTCCTTCAATCAAAACGCGTTTGTGGTTCGTTCATTGTCATGTTATTTCAACCAATTTTTTTTTCCTGTAATATTCCAGCAAATATAATTACGTATCAATAACGTTAGAAACGTTATTGATATATCGTCATATTTACCGGGATTAGGTCGGTGCAAAAGATACGTCTCATTTTTTCATTATAAATTCCACTAGGAAATTTTAATATTAAAAGGAAATTACGAAATCCTCGTTAGTTGTCTGAGAGAATACCGGGTCGATGTCGTTTCCTTCGTAAAAATTGTTACTTCCTCCGATATTGAAAAATTTCGCTCTCTACTTCCACGATGAACCTTTGGCACCGATCTAATAGCGATACCGGATACGTCTATTGCGCTTTACGAACTATCATAATACATTGCTCTAATTAGCTCGTGTCAATGCAATATCATGCTACCTCGATGTCACTTCAATATTCTCCAACGTGTTTGCGACACACAATCTTGAAGAACGAAGCGACGAAAGCACGTACCTACGCCAGAGCCGCAGATCCAGAAGGTCTCTCACCAGAGATATATAACTAGGCCTTTGCCGATCAAATTCGGAGAAATTCAGAAATCTCACGTCCCCGTCAAAGCTTAAGAGAATGGCCTCCTGCTTGATGATGCTCGTCATCTCTTCCACTAACAACTCCTGTCGAGTTGAGAATTTTTATGTTTTTTCATTCTTTCAAGGCTCAAATCGAACAATAATTTGCCAACAATTCACTAACTGTTTACCTAATTTATCAACAAAAATAATTTACATTGAGAGACTGTACATACAGGATGCGGCAGCGTAATTTCCTTTTTTCAAAATTCAATAAAATGCATTTTATGAGGCACATATTTTTTTTTTTTTTTATAATGTAGGTAGACATCTAAAGTTTTATCTTACATGGTTTTGAAAATCATATCCGAAAGGTGACGCCCCATATTGTCTATACACTGGGTAAACCGAATTCTGGCGTTTGTCATTACTCTTTCGAGCATAGCGACGGGTATGTTGGCCGTTTCTTCCCGAATGTTGGCCTTCAGATCTTCTAGGGTTCTTGGACGGTTGGCGTAAACGCGGGATTTCAAAAAACCCCACAAAAAAAATTGCAAAGGGCCAAATCGGGGGAGCGAGCTAGCCACTCCAAATCACCCCTCAGGGAGATGAGTCATCCTGGGAAGTGGTTCCTCAAAACAGCCATCGATGCCCTTGAAGTGTGAGCTGTTGCTCCGTCTTGTTGGAACCATATGTCCCTTAAGTCCATTTCATCAAGTCGTAGAAAAAAAAATCCTCGAGCATGCTCACATAACGGTCTGAATTGACTATTACTGTGACCTGATTTTCTTCAAAAAACCATGGACCAACGATGCCAACTGATGAAATCGCACACCAAACAGTCACTTTTGGCGAATGCAAAAGCCTCTGATGGAGTTCTCGAGGCTACATTAAAGTGATTTCTGAAAGCACGCTGGGTTGCAATCACCGAATTGTCATTAGAAAAGTACGCTTCTACGGCAAACGCACACTCCTCACTGTTCCAACGCATGATGGCGACTGACCGAGGGCTGAACAAAACTTTAGGATTCCCTCTCGCAAATGCATNAGGTAGCATATATCCCTTGTTTCCTCTATTCTTATATCTCTATGCTCAAATGAGACCACTAGCGCCCCTCTACGACCGTTAGTTTTTTAAAGGCGGGCATTTCAAATAAGGAAGTTACGCTGCCGCACCCCTATATCTGAGAGATTAAAAAAAGAACACTTAATGTTTGAATTTTTCTGCTGACCGTATTATTGATTTTTATTAAGAGATCCTTTTCAATGATAATTCATATTTCTGTTTACATATTACATGAAGCTCATTAGAAAAAGTTGATATAACGCTGTTATTACTGTTTTCGTGAAGCATCGATGCAAATTGGTACACAAAATATCCCGAGAACTATTGGGCCGATTTAGTTGTAGTTTTACATAGATGTCCTTATTAAGATTATCTCATTTTCGTCATAGATTTCTTTCTATATCTATTTTCTTTTTTATAAACGAAAAGAGGAGAAATTTTCGGCAAAAGATCGAACTTTTGAATTCGAATAAATTTATCAGAAATTAATATTTTAAAAATCAGCTACGACAAAGATTAGTCTTATTTGTCTATTTTAACAGGTTTAAGCCTTATTTGGTTTAGACAAATGACGTCGGAGATTTTTTGAGCTCTCCGAAAATGCCGGTTAACAATGCCGAGCTTCACGGAAGTAGCAATAACAGTTACATATCAATTTTTTAATGGGCTTCGTGTAATGTGTAAATAAAAGTACGAGGAATCATCCTTCAAAAGGACATCTTCATAAAGCATATATATAGTGGTCAGCAGAAAAACTCAAACATTGAGTGTTTTTTTGAGCCATTCGGATATATATAGCCCTTTAAGAAACAATCGAACCGTAGACAAAGACGAAGCACTCACTTGCTGTAAAGTTGACGATAACAGTGGTCGCCGGATGGCAGGCATATGTATTTGAAACAGATGTAGGAATATATGGATGGAACTAAGTTGAGTTTATAGGCAAAAGGGATGAAGCCGATTTGAGAGACGAAGTATCTCTAAAATTGTGCCTGGATTTGATTGGTTGAGTTGTATTCATGCGCAGTACCGCTAATTATAAACGAAGTAATAAGAACATGAACATATAATTCAGAATAATACGTGAAAAATGAATAACATAATAGATAGGAGGCGATTCTATGCAAATCATCTTTTGGTATACTGTGAAGAATATGTAAAAACAGCCTGTTTTTATTTACAGTTCATAATCATAAAAATGTTATCTTACTTATGAAATGTGATTTTTCTTTCATTTTGCGTGTGTTTTTTCCAATTTTAGTTGTCCAATCTGCTTTTGTACAAAGGAAAATAACACTGCACCATTACTCCAACGATTTATTAATAATAAACAATAAGACAATACTTGCTAACCTCCTCATACGTGCTCAGACGTTACATGAATGCTTACATGGACGCGAAGATGGTACTATGTACGCTTGCGCATAGTAAAAACCAATCAAAACCAGGCACAGTTTTTACCTCGTCCCCCTCTCTCTGTGGCTTCACCCTTCTGAGATTACACTCCATCCATATATTCCTATATCCATGGATTGAAAATGTAACCCTACAGACGTTATAGCAGTAGCACCATCGGTAATTATTTAGTTTAGCTACGCCAGCACAAATATGGGTGAAATTACACTTATTCGACGCGTTTTCACATGAAACGAAGGAATCTGGCAGAAAAAACTGTCACTCTACCCCGCAAAGCGAGTTATTAATCGTCAAAGTTGACGACTTGACAAGGTTAGGAAACCTGTCATATCGACGAAATGTTGCGATATGAGTATGCTCCGTGGTCATATTCGCATGCTCTATGGTCACATGTGCGTGCTCTGTGGTCACATGATCATGGGAAACATAGAGATATTAGGTTGGTGCATATGAAATGTCGGATTCTTAAGTGATTGTA